CATAATAAAATGGATACAGGCAACAGTTTTTGAGCTCTAGCGTATATTGACAGTGTAAGTCAATAAATTCAATATGTCAATGCGGATAAGATGGTTGTTTCTCTTAAAAAATGGTTTCGCAAGAGAGCACAGATTTACGGCCGAAGAAAATTAAAATATTACTATCCATAAAATAATGTTTGGTATAATATTGTATAAACACTCATATCACTCGCGCGCGCACACACACACACGCACACGCAAACACAGACGCACAAACACACACACACACTCACACACACACAAACACACACACACAAACACACACACACACACACACATATATATATATATATATATATATATATATATATATATATATATATATATATATATATATATGTATATATATATGTTAATTTCTCACAAGAAACCTTGTAGAAAATACAATATATATTAAAGAATAAAAGACAATAGGAAATCTGTAGTTTCAATCGAGGCTTTTCGTCTAATATGGATTTTTCCAAAGCAGAAAACGAAATGAGTTTACTAAAACAAAATATCTATAAACGACAAACAAAATATCGTTATCAACTAGAAGAATTTAGAAACGCGATTGTATATTCATATGGTGAACTGAAAAATTATGTCAATTGCTTTGTTTGAAGAGAATATTTTCACGTTTACAAATGTTGTTTGCTTTCTTGTGTTGTCGGATTAACCGTTTTCTTTTGATTTCTTAATATATTTCTTGTGTACGTTGGATTGCGAAGGTAGTGATTATGTTAGGAAAGGTGATATTGGGGAAAATTAGTATACATAGGAATAAATGAAGCACAGTTTTCATTTTTTAAATGCTGCACTCATGAAAAAAGAAAATAATTCACTTAGAAGAAAAATCCTCGAGGGTGCCGTCATTGAATATTATCCAAATATTAATCTGCGTCCCGACTTTTTTCCCCAATATAAACTTTCCAAATAATAATAATAATAATAATAATGATAATAATAGGTTCATCTATGAATAATGTGTGTTAACTTAGTTTATTTAATACAAAAATGAAGATGTCATGAAGGCATTTATGACGTTAGATCTCTGGTTGGAACACGGAAGGAAATGTGTACACAAAAGAAACGCAAGAAATAATAATAATAATAATAATAATAATATATATATATATATATATATATATATATATATATATATATATATATATATAATAACTTTAAAAATGAAAATTTCTGAACTTATTACCAAGGATACACACAAACACGCATACACACAAACACAACTATATATATATATATATATATATATATATATATTATAATTCTATGTATATAACATATATATATATATATATATAATATATATACATATATATGTGTGTGTGTATGTATGTGCGTGCATATGCGCATGCGTGTACAAAACATTTTTATTTTATTTTTTATTTTCGTTAGCGCTTCAAGATTATGAATGTTTATGAAAAATAATGTTCATCCTTTTCTACAATCGATGTAACTGATAAAATTTACGTTTGGCTCTTATTCTTTTAAGACAATAGAGGTTCATATAAAAGTTTATCTCTCCATATAAAACCACTTCCGAATGACAGTAATTGATAAAAAATGAGAATGAAAATGAAAAAAATGCGAAAATGAATAAATGCATGGAGGTACATGAAGTAAAAAAAAAATTGTAGAATGAATGAAATATTTACAAAAGAAATAAAATAAACATTATACACATTTTGCTCTTTTTACCTGTTTTCAAAATATCTCTTATTTCTGGATTCACCGTAGATTTTTTTTCAAATAATACAGACATTTTGCACTGAAACTAATATGTGTATATCTCTTTAAAATATGTGCTTACATTATTTTTCAAATTCCTGAACATGATGCAGATCACTGTCATGAAGTAGATACGGACCAACATCATGCCACAATAGTTATACAATTATAGATTTTTTTCCAGTTAATGACAGCATTGACAGTATTTATAGTTTTGTTTCATTTACATTTTTCATATTAGCAGAATAATGTACACACACACACAGACATACAAACACACACACACTCACACACACACACACACACACACACACACATATATATATATATATATATATATATATATATATATATGAAGAAAGACTTATACCCACAGAAGAAGAAAATAGATTTAAATAGAATTGATGTTATTTTAACTAAATTCGGCCAAAATATCACTTTATCTGATAAATATCCTTTAATTACATATATATTGATAAAATTATAGAAAGAAAATAAATACATATATATTGATACAAATGCAGAAAATGATATATATATATATATATATATATATATATATATATATATATATATATATATATATATATATATATATATAAAATCAGGATTTATGTTGAAAAATACCACAAACTGAATAAATCAAAGGTCATCATCAAAATATGTATGCTATTATTAAGAAGAAAGACGAAAGAATTTTTCGATAATCTTAGTATATTATTTGATCCTTTTTAGATCGTTCGAAATTTTGGTTAAAATTTTGTTTTACTTGCGTCATTTGCTTAAATTAATTTACGTAATTGCGGTGAAAAACACATTGATTCAGAAATTTTGAAAAAATTAAATAATAGTAGGAACTTAATTAATCTTTGTAGATTTATTAGCAAATGAATGAAATCATATTATAAATATTTCCTTTTTAGAAAATCTTTTATTATTTTTTTTTACATTTGTTACGCTCAACTTATTTTATATATATATATATATATATATATATATATATATATATAGATAGATAGAGATAGATAGATAGATAGATAGATAGATAGATTGATAAATGCATATATATATCTACATAGAGATAGATAGATAAATGCATATATATATATATATATATACATAGAGATAGATAGATAGATAGATAGATAGATAAAGCATATATATAAATATATATATATATATATATATATATATATATATATATATATATATATATATATATATATGTACTTAAATATTCGTGTTGGTATATAGTGCATCATTTTTCCTGTCATAAGTATATCCATACATGTAATATATTTTTATTTTAATATTTTTCAGAATAATTATTAATCCTAGTAATATACAAACCATTTACTTTACACACCAATACTATTTTTAACAAATTCTCCTCGTTTGTCAATGCAGCTGTATCTATCTATCTATCTATCTATCTATCTATCTATCTATCTATCTATATATATATATATATATATATATATATATATATATATATATGAAGAAATATAGTCTTAAGTTGTGCTATAATTATGGGATAAAGTGCTCAATATCAGAGATAGAGCGTGTGTAAATATATAAGTGAACATAGAAGTCAACAGTTAGAGGCGACAGTCTGTTTCATGCTATATGTAATCGTGGCCTGACGATTGCATATAGCATGAAACAGACTGTCGCCTCTAAGTGTTGACTTCTATGTTCACTTTTATATATATATATATATATATATATATATATATATATATATATATATATATATATATATATATATATATATATATATATATAAATGGATAAATCCGACGGAATAAATTTTTGAAAAACAAACAAAAATCCATAAATGTAGTTAAAATTTTAACTACATTTATGGATTTTGTTTGTTTTTCAAAATATATATATATATATATATATATATATATATATATATATATATATATATATATATATATATATATATATGTGTGTGCCTGTGTGTGTGTGTGTAATAATCAAATATAATTTTAAGTTATTCTATACAAGCATATAAGTGGACATTGAAGTCAACAGCTGAGGCGAATTTCTGATTCATACTTAAACACACTCGTCAGGCCATCCGTCATGGCCTGGCGATTGCTTTTAAGCATGAAGTTTCTATCTGTTTCCTTCAATGTCCATATTTACACACGTACATGCGCGCGCACACACACACACGTGTTTGTTTGTATTTGCATTAATACATATACACATACGCAGATATATACATATGCTATAGAACATTTTCTATTAATCGCCGTATTATACATAATCTCTCTCTCATATATATATATATATATATATATATATATATATATATATATATATATATGTTACAATGATGCACAATCATACCTATAAATAAATGGAAATTCTTATATCTACCTTCTCTTTTAGAACTGGCACATGTCTTGTGCGAAAGGATTTAGCTTCAGGCCAATTCATGTATTCGTTCTGTTGTACAGTTCAAAATAGATTATTTTATGAAGACCTTCCATAAAGTTGTATTATAGCAGGCATATTCAACTTGTGGTCAGTCGCTTTAATAGGGCATGCTGGGTAAATTTCACATAAGTATTGGTGTAATAATAGGTTGCCAAAATTTATAGAAAATCATTGTGAAGTCGTGAAAAAGAAAAACACATGCTGTGATAATTGTGCGAGGTGTGGTTTTTTTTACGAGATATGTAATTGAATAGGCTGTGTTTATAAAGACAGTTGTTAAGAAGAAATAAAACAAGTGAGGAAAGAAAGAAAGAAAGAAAGAAAGTAAAAAAGAAAGAAAGAAAGAAATAAAAAGGATGTAACGAAAGAAAGAAAGAAAGAAAATAAGTAATGTAAGAAATAATTTAAAAGGAAATACATTTTAGAAATATAGAAAAGCCTGAGAAATGTAGACATGAATTAAAAAGTAAAAGTTTAGAAAACCTAAGAGAGTTCTTTAAAAAGAAGGATAAGTGAAATTTTACATAAACAAATGGAAGCAAATTCGATAAAATTGAAGAAGAATGGTTTATTTAAAATACGAAGAAAAATAAATAGATAACAATGAAAATTAAGGAACTGCAGATAAAAGCCCAGGAAAAGTGAAGAAAATAAATAAGTAAAAATATACCTAATTTAAAGGAAAAATGTGTTGAACCACAAGGAGTATTTCAAGTTGTGTTTAAAATTAAATAATTAATACTGAAAACCATGTCAAATTAAAAGGTAATCGACTAATTGAGAGACCGAAAGAAAGAAAAAAGGTAGAAAAAAGAAAGAAAGAAAGAATTAAAGAAAGAAAGAATGAAAGAAAAAGGTATTAAAAGAAAGAAAAAGAAAGAAAGAAAGAAAGAAAGAAAGAAAAAGGTAGAAAAGAAAGAATTAAAGAAAGAAAGAATGAAAGAAAAAGGTATTAAAACGAAAGAAAGAAAGAAAGAAAACGAAAGAAAGAAAGAAAGAAAGAAAGAAAGAAAGAACAAGCAGGAATCATTTCGAGAAAGAAAGAAAGGGTGAGATGGAGAGAGATAAATTGAAAGATAGAACAACAAAGAATGATGAAAGAAAGTAAGAGAGGGAGTGAGTGAAAGAAAGAACAAGCAAGGGTAATAGAAAGAAAGATAGGACGAACAAGGATGAAAGAGTGAGAAATAAAACAAATGAGAAAGGAAGAAAATCGAAACAAGTACACAAGAATGTACAAGAAAGAAGAATAGAGTGATAGAAAGATAGATAGACAGAATAATGAAAGGAATATACCAAAATATATAAAAAAAATTATACTGACTCGCAAACAGAAACTTTAACAATTAGACAATAAATATGAATAGAAACACGAACAAGAGAAGAAACGAAATCACTGCTTTAGATGGCGAGAGTTAAAAAAATGAAATCAATGAAAGGAAAGCAAGAAAAGTGAAGTACGCTGATGAAGAAACACCGTTGGTGACAAACAAAAAAGAGAAAACGAAAAGCGAGAGAGGCGCGCTTTATGACTTCTGTTGTGCAGACGCAGCTCAATAGAAATGTCAACGTATCAGAATGTAAAAAAAATTAATGTTCGTTGAGTCTGAGTCAGGTCGGGGTGGCTGGTTTGTTTGCAAGGGAAGAAACCCAATACCCGTTTCTTTGTATCGATTTCTCTTTCGGCTTGCTCGCTGGATCTGCCCAAATGAATTGAGAGTATTCTTATTTCAAGATAGGGGCAAGGAAACAACTTGTTTTTTTTTCTTTTTAATCTTTTGTCTTTCCTTTTTTTGTTCCACCCACTTTTTTTTTCTTTTCATTTCTTTTTGCGCATTGCAAAACACTGAAAATCTCACCTGTCCCGGACGTTTGCTGATGTCCCTAACACGTGTCCTTCTCCGACTTCCATCGCCTCCACTACAAATCATATTTCGTTTTCTCTATTCTTTCCTTTTTTCAGTAATATCTTCGGCGGCGGCGTCATTATTTTCACTCTCATTTTAGACATATCGTATCCCTTTAATATATATATATATATATATATATATATATATATATATATATATATATATATATATATATATATATAATTAAATGAAAAACAGACCACTTTAAGGTACCATTACAATAATTTATTTCACCAAAATCCTTTTTAAAGGACTCCGGATCATCAGGTAAAAATTCCAACAAAGAAATGATGGTAATTCCAAGCAGGATGGTAATTCCAAGCAGGATGGTAATTCCAAGCAGAACTCAATGTGAATACACAGCTAATATTTAATGAAAAACAGACATTATTAAATATTAGCTCTGTATTTACATTGAGCTCTAAGGATTTCATCCTCCTTCGAATTACCCATTCGGTTTACCAAATTTTTCGTAACTTATATATATATATATATATATATATATATATATATATATATATATATATATATCAGTGTAGTGGGAGTATAGAGCTTAGTACTGAGAAATGCGAGAAAGGAAGACAGATGAAATATAAATAATATTTATTCAAATTAAATATAAATTAATTTTTATTTCACATTTTCATTGGATAACGTCCTGATATGGATGCCCGGAGTCGCAGCACACTCTGCACCCGCTTCTACACGTTAAACTTTGAAAAGGACAAGTAATCACGACATTCTACACGTACGTACATGTGTAAAGACGGTAAATTCAATCAACTAAGCGAAAAAAAACTTTTACATATATTGTTTGTATATATATATATATATATATATATATATATATATATATATATATACAGTGGGTAGAAAAGGTATTTAACACATTGGTTTTTCTTACATATCTCAAAAAATAACAGATCAATTTCAACGAAACTTATAGGAAATATTTAAACGAACATTGTCGATCAAAACATAAAAGGAAAATTTAAAACCACTGTTTTGAGAAATATTTATTAACAATAAATAAAATAACCCATATGCAAAAGTATTTAACACACTTTACTAATATTTAGTACAGTAGCCTCTGTTCTGCTTCACAGCCTCCAGTCGTTTCTCGTAGTCTTCAACTAGTTTCTTGCAGGTGCTTGTTGCTATTTCGACCCATTCTTCTTCACAAATTTTTTTCAATTTGTTTAAATTCGATGGATTTCTTTTATGTAACTTCAATAGTTTCCAAAAATTTTCGATTGGATTTAAATCCGGTGACTGGTTTGGCCATTCCAGAACATTAATGTCATTATTATTAAACCAATTCTTAGTTGTTTTAGCAGTATGCTTCGGGTCATTGTCTTGCTAAAATATAAAATCACGACCTAGGCCCAAAGATGTGGCACTGCTCAAGAGTTGAGTTGACAAAATTTGAGTGTATTTTGCAGCATTCATTGTTCCGTCGATGATTTTCATTTTTCCTACTCCATTTGAGGAAAAGCAACCCCACATCATAATATTTCCACCCCCATGTTTGACTGTAGGGATGGTATTTGCTGGCTCGTATTCCGCTCCTTTTTTCCTCCATACATGAGTGCGCATGTTTCGTCCGTAAAGCTCAATTTTCGTTTCGTCTGACCAAATTACTTTCTCCCAGAAATCATTAGATTCAATTTCATATTTCTTTACAAAATTCAAACGGGCTTGTACATGTCGGCGTTTCAGTAATGGATATTTCTCGGTGATCTTGAAGTGAGACCTGCACGATTCAGTGATCTTTTAATTGTATCTTTACTAACTTCAATTCCGGCATTTTTCAAATCATTCTGAATTTATCGACGAGTTGAAAATGGATTTTTCTTCACAGTATCGAATTTTTCCATTTTCGAACAACAGCACCAACTGTACTCACAAGCAAATTCAAATCTTGAGCGATTTTTCTATATCCCTTACCATCTTTGTGATTCTTTATGATCTTCTTGCGCATGTCGTTCGACAGTTCTTCTGTTTTCACCATTTTCTTGCAGTAGTGGCAACAGAATAGCTGCGGTGTCTCAGAGCTGTTATCTAATAGCCAGTTGAGTGTCGTGCAGTGCTGTCATTGGTCGACATATCACATCATATCAATATGGGTAGGAATCATGACGACACGTCTCTTCTAGCATAATATTTGCATTGGTATGAAATACTTTTGCATATGGGTTATTTTATTTATTGTTAATAAATGTTTCTTAAAACATTGGCTTTAAATTTTCCTTTTATGTTTTGATCGACAATGTTCGTTTAAATATTTCCTATAAGTTTCGTTAAAAATGATCTGTTATTTTTTGAGATATGTAAGAAAAAGCAATGTGTTAAATACTTTTTTACTACCCACTTTATATATATATATATATATATATATATATATATATATATATATAGTCATCCACTTGTGGTTGACTCAGTCAGGATTCTATCTATGGATACTGACATTGCTGAGTATAAAAGAATTGCCCACGTTTGCAGAGAATAGGTAAATTTTAGACGTGCATCCTGTGTGTACGCGCTCGGGTTCCCTACGTTAAACCTGACATTGTGTCGCATGCCGGCTAATTGTGAAGGCCTGGTTAAATACCTAGCCGTTTCGAGTCAGGCAGATTATTGTCTGGCTTGCGAGCAACAAGACCTCTTTCTCCGGGCAGAGGGTAACTCAGTCGGAGCTCTGTATACGTTTAGAGACTCGGCTGAGGAAAACTGACAAGAATTATTCCCTATATGGGGAATTGGTAAATTTTGAACAATTGAACCAGTGGAAACGCTCGACTTTCCCACAGAAATCTCGACATTGTATCATATCTCATCACAGTGTGGAACTGGGTAAATACCTAGCTATTTCGTGTCAAGTTGTTCGCTGCCTGGCATGCAACTGACAAGACCTCTGACTTCGGGTAGAGTGTGATACTGTCGAGGCTCTGTCTACGTATAGAGAATTGAGTGAGTAGAACATACAAGCAAAGTCTTTGTACTCCGAGGTTGTAGGGAATGAGTAAATTCTGGACGTGCGGCCTCCGTGCACGCGCTCGGGTTCGTCACGTTAAACCTGATATCTTCTTATATTCCGTCTAAATTAGGAGACATGGATAAATACCTAGCCGTTTCGACAGTTCACTCTCTTAATTGGGACTAACAAAACCTCTGTCTTCGATAAATGGTGACACAGTCGGGACTCTGTTTTCGGACAGACACTCGGCTGAGAAGAACAGACATGCTAAATGCTCTTCCCCACTTGTATGCAGGGAATGGTTAAATTTTGGACCAAGCAGCCTGTATGTACCTTCGGTTTCCTCACTTTAAACCTGACTATGTGTCGCATTCCGTCTAATTGGGGAGGCGTGGGTAAATACCAAGCCGTTTGTCACCAGTCTTCGGTAATACAATAAAGGCGCCACGGTAGATTAGCCAAAGCATTATGTATAGAGAATACTTATACGACGTACGTTGTATACGTAAGAGTTTGTTATAAAAATAGCCATAGAATAATGATGTTAAAAGTCTTTTGACGAAAGAAAAAAAAGACTTACGTCTGATTTATCATTAGCACACTACATCCCAAAAGAAGAAATTTTAGAGACATCAGATACTAGTGAATACGGTAATGGAGCGGTGATTTTACGCAAATACGTTGGCGGTAAAATGAATGCCTTCGTTCATGCTTCACGGTCAATTCTATGAACAGAGAAAAATTAGAGCCAGGCAGAAAAAGAAGTTCTAGCAATTCTATTCACTGTGAAGAAATATAAATTTACATGGAACAAAATTTATGTTGCAAACAAAACACAGACCTTTATTAACAATATATGGTTCAAAGAAAGTTATACCTACTCATACAGTTTAGAAACTACAAGTCTGGGGTACCATTATGTTAAACTACGTTTTTACGATGGAGTACCAATCGTCTAAGGAAAGTGGACATGCGGATGGATCATCTAGATTAATACCTAAAAATGCAGAACCATTGGAGGACACGCTCATCACAGCACAAATAGAGAAATGGAAATAAATAAATAAATAAAAAACTTTTTGTGCAACGTTGTACGAGATTTGCAGGGACGTTGAATAAAATAAAATAATAAAAAAAAAACTAAAAATGACGTCTTTATTGAGAAAATAAAAAAAAGCAACTGAAAGGGAATAATAAAGATCGAAATGCAGACTGAAACGCTACTCAATATGCGGTCAAAGAGTTTGTAATACCAACTGTGTTACAGGAACGAATATTGAAGAACTTTCATTACGGGCATCCTGGTATATCTAGAATGAAATCGATGAAGAGAAATCTCTTATATTGGACCGAAACATTCCAAGATATTGAAAGAATAGTAAAATCATTTAGATGGTGTGCTCTACAAGCAAAACTACTTATCAAAAAGATAAAACCTTGACCAAGGATAGACACGTCCTGGTCAAAGCTGCATATAGATCTTGCAGGTCCAATCAATGGATCATACTAGCTTGCGGTAGTTGATAGTTTCACAAAATGGCCGGAAATTTATAAATGCAAAAATACAACATCCTCGGTGACAGTGAATTTCTTGCATGAACTGTTTGCGATATATGGTATACCAGGCACCATAGTATCTGCTAATGAAACGCAATTTGAAGACTTTTCTACGACGTTCCCCGTTGATGATGCTACGCACCAGCTGTATCATTCCCGGTGTATCGGACAAGCTGAACAGTTTATGGGAACGTTCAAAAGAGCGTTGAATAAAGCAAGACTTGCGAAATTAAATGAGAAGGTACTTCAAAATTTTACCGGATAACACCTAACCCCAGTGCACCATCAGGCATATCGTCAGCGGAATTAATGATTGCCAGAAGTGCAAAATCGGTGTTCGACAAGTTGTTACCAAGTCAAAAAACACGAACGGTTAAAAAAAGCAACATCAAAAGTTTCAAGATCAGCGATAAAGTGTTCTTTAGATGATATAAGGAGGCAAAGAAACACGGGAAAGACTGCATAATATCAGCAAGAATCACGAAAT